TATATATATATATATCCTTGACAGCAGCCTATCTTCCCACTCCCATATTAATACTGTCACTTATCTGCATCTGTCCCTTACATTGAACAAACAGCACTGCTATTCTAGTTCATACTCTGGTCACATCTTGCCTCGATTATTGTAATTTTTATTTTATTTTATTTTGCAGGAGGGCGGTTGTGTTACCTGTCAAGCTTTTTGCTCGCATCATCACCAGAACCCTCATCAGCCATATAACACCAGACCTACAGCACCTTTATTAGCTTCCCATCAAATATCGCGTCATCCACAAGATCCTGCTTCTTTCATTTTGTTGCTTCTCCTCTGTATATTCTTGCTCTTCCAGGATTATATTCCCACCTATAATCTCAGCTTCTCTTCTTCACCTGATCACCATGGGGGGGTCAAGATTTTTTGTCTGGTCAGCCCCTCTCCGCCTTTTGAACTGTCTGCCCTGGGATTTACAAAATTCTGTTTTAAGGTTTGTTTAAGTTCGGCAGTTTGGCTATATTTTCATTCAATGGAAATAAAAAATACAGAAAAAAAAAGTTGATTTCTAAATCAATCGGTGAGTTTTTTTCTCTTTAATTGAAAAAGTCCAACAAATTTTAGCTTAAAATTTTCTATATTTGATAAAGATATTAAAAATTTTACTTGGATTACTTTTTTTGTGTTACATTTAATATTAAACCTGTCTAACTGTTAATTCATAAACATTTATGAATAAAATGTGTTCATGAATGCAGCTGATGTGCGGATTTGCAGTAGATGGCGAGTGCATGATTTCTTGTAATCATCTGTATCTTTTTCTCCTTCAAGACTTATCTTTGTGTCATTTAAAATAAAGGCTAAAACATCCACCAAATGCATCTCACCCACCTTTTTCTTGTCAGCTGAGGTTTGTTTGCAAACCTGCCTGCAAGGACTGGACCGAAATTCATCGTCATCCTTTACCGTCAGTCTTGGAATGGCTGTCATCGGGCGAATGACCCCAGGTTTCGTCTAAATAAGAAGAATATTTGACATCAACAACAGTCGTTCAATCAAGCAACTTTCCAAGACACTTAACATCATTGTTGTACTAAAAAAAGATGCAGCTGTTCGTAAGTTAAAAGAACCTGTACCTTTTTAGGGCACATCATGTTTCTTTTAGAGGCTGATGGGTGCAAGCAGCACAAAGATGCCTAAAATTAAAAAAAGTATTAGACTCAATAACATGGCAACAAAAGCAAGACAAGGGTCCATTAAAGGCATGAAATGAAAGAGCCATTTTCTCTGTAAAGGGCCTTTTTGTACTATTGTGCTAAAAAATTAAATTAATTAGTGCAACAACTTGCAGGTTCTAAGGCTAAAAGCATAATAAATTAAAAAACAAGCGTTCCTTGAAGGTATGCATATCATGGCACAATTATAAACTGAGATGATCTTGTTGGGCAATAATTTAGCCATTTTGCTCAAACGACGTATGGGGCGCCGTTTGTAAAGTTACACAGTCAAAAATTAACAGCAATATTTTGGTTTATTTAGCCTTTAATAAGGAAAAAAATGTTTTTTCAAAGTCATATTTTCACCATGTTATTCATAAATTTATAAATGTCATAGTTCCTAACTAAATATTTAATTTACAATATAAATGTTTAGTTTACAAACCAATTACTTAACTCGCAAGTTAAATGTTTAGTTAGTAAACAAAATATT